CCGTTCGGCGCTAGGATCTTCAGTGATTTGGATCACGACGAGTACGACTCCATCAACCCCGTTCTTTTGAACGCTTCCACTCATGATCTACAAGGGTATGTAGATGAACTCCTCTCTCCCTCGTTGCTAGATGACTCCATAGATTGATCTTGGTGATGCGTAGAAAATTTTAAAATTCTGCTACGTTCCCCAACAGCCATGACTCGTGTGCGTGTGAAAGACGGGCGGAGGACCTCCTTCTGGCATGACTGGTGGCTGCCTTGCGGCCCCTGAGTGTCGCCTTTCCGGCTCCAGTCGCATACCACGTGCCCCGAGGCCACCGTGTCTCGAGTGTGGGAGTCCGGGCTCAACCACATCCTGGTCCCAAGGTTCACCCGGGCTGGCGCTAGGGAGCGCGCGGCCCTCCTCGCCCTCCTCCCGGCTGCCCAAGCGACGCCGGGCGTGGATGAGAGGGCGCTGCCGCTCTGTGGGCATCCACGGACAGGGCCCTTGTCACGAGCCGCGCTTATGCCCTGCTGCGTTTTGGCGGGTGTTTCTCGCCGCATGCGGCCTTCATTTGGGAGGCGCGCACGCCGTCCCGAGTGAAATTCTTCTGCTGGTTGCTTGTCCACCACCGGGTTAACACCCGGGTTGTCCTCCTTCGAAAAACCATTGTTGATCGGGCGGGGGGCGGATGCCCCGTCTGCTCGGCCGAGCTGGAAACTGCGGACCACTTGATGTTTGGCTGCCCATTCGCGAGCGCGTTCTGGCGCGCCGTGGGGGTTGCGGTGATCGCGACGAACACTTCGGTGGGTCGGCTCCACGCCTTCGATGTGAGGGCAGCTGTCAGAGAGGCCTCTCCTGACGCCTTTGTCCTTCTTTGCTGCTGGCACCTATGGAAGCATTGGAATGGTGTGGTCTTTCAAGCTATGGTGCCGTCTCTAGATCGGGCGTTAAGCTGCTGTCGCGAGGATGATGTTCTCTGGCGGGAGCGATTACGTCCCAGTGATCGCTCGCATGTTGATGCTTGGGTGAGTGCGTTGGTGCGGTGATCTAGTCTGTGTTGTTAGATCTCCCCCCCCCCCTAAGTGTGCGTTGCTGTTTGTAAAAATGAGGGCCTCCCCCCTTCCTTATGGTGATTTGGCAATAAAAAATACAGGTGGAGGGATTGTTATCCCTCCCCCGGTGACAGTTCAAAAAAAATATGAAGATAAATAATATCAAATCAATTTCAATATACCCACCATTAGATATATTTTCATAATGTGTTTATTCAATATTTTCGTAATGCACTGTGTGACTCATTTGTATGTAAACTACTCCCTCTATTTCTTTACTCTCATATAAGATTTGTCTTGACTCAAACTTTGTAAAGTTTAGCCAATTTTATACAAAAAATTATCAACATTCACTATACCAAATCAATATCATTAGATGCATCATGGAATAAAATTTCAAATTATATATCTTTAGTATTGTATAGATGTTGATATTTTTTAATATAAATTTGATGAAAATTTATAAAATTTGAGTTAAGACAGTTTTATATGCGGAGTAAAAAGAAACAGAGAGAGAGAGAGTACCTAAATGTTTGTGTGTTGCTGTGTAATTTCCTTTTATTTATGTATCTGTAGTTGTTTAAATGATTGGGCGCCATTAGAATAAGAAACTATTATGTCAACATAAAGCAACTGCACATCCTGTAGTTTTAAAATGATGTGATGCCAAAGTATGCATGGATGTTGAACTTCATCTAAACCGGTAAATTTACATGACTTAAAAGCCCCTCGACTTTGCCTTCGAAGAGAGGGAAATATGATATGTGGGTCATGTGGGCTGAACTAGGAAGGCATGTATGAGGGGCGGAGCTAGCCTAATGCATTCTGCAATACTCCCTCCGTTCCTAAATATTTGTCTTTATAAACATTTCAAATGACTACTACATACGGATGTATGTAGACATATTTTAGAGTGTAGATTCACTCATTTTACTTTGTATGTAGTCATTTGTTGAAATGCCTAGAAAGACAAATATTTAGGAACGGAGGGAGTAGATATTTAGTCTAGATGCTCATATATGCATATATATCATGCATGGTGTTCATTTCACACGTAGAACTCACTAAAAATGAGAAAGAACAACGCTCCAGTGTCCTCCTGCGACCAGGCTTCCTTGGGCTAAGATCCACTTTCGGCAAGCACGGGCCTTCAATTCTCGTTCTGGGCCCAGGAACACACGACTCGTCGGAAAGCCAGGAACTGGGGCGTCGTGCTGTCGCCTGATCGTGGATCGCCAATCGGGACACTGCAATATCTCGAGGCAGGTGCTTTCGCCTTTGTTTAATTGAATTTTTTTCGACTCGTTAAGCTCATGGCTCGCTTCTTAATGAATAGAGTCAATCATTGATTTTAGCTTGTTAAGCTTTACGAGCTTAACGAATGATCTAACGAGTTTCACGAGTAGCTCGTTAAGCTCGTTAGTAACAAGACAACACATATTTTTATCGCACGTGACAAAATTTTTGTAGCACTTCATCCCATCTATTCAATCTACTCTACATAGGACAACAAGCTAGTGCATTTTCTTTTGTACTCGCCATGTTCCTTCTTATAAAACGTATATACACACTCATTACGCAGACCGTGACACATCAGAATCTGTTAACGAGCGCTCACGAGTTTAACGAGTTTCAAACGAATCGAGCCGAGCAGGGTTTCCTGCTCGTTAATCGTAACGAGCTTAACGAGCCGAGCAGCTCATTAATCCACCCCTAGATGACACTGCTCAAATCTGGCTTTACCTTTTCATTTTCTCAATGTGTATTCATTTGTTTGCAAATAAATGTGTATTCGAATTTGGATCTGGAACTTTTAAGGATGACATGAACTGATTGACAGACTTTTTTACGACAAATGATCGAAAGACTTGGGCACGAAGACACGGGAACCATTGGCCAATTGACTATTTGACCGCAAAGACGGTCGTCTGCATCTCTGACGCGGGTACAGGACTGGGTCCCACTGGGGCAGCTGACGAGCCCAGCGGCTGTGCTGTGGCAGCCATGAATACGGCCGTAGCAGCCACAGCCACGCCTTCCGAGTCCTGGCAAATTCCTGTTTTGACTCCTTTCTGAACCTTAGTTTGAAATTTTTTCATAATCTGACCCTTTTGCTACTGCTAGAGACCATGGCGGTAGGCTGGTAGGCTGGCTCCAGTCTACCGCCATGGTCTCTGGCGGTAGGAAACATCGGTATTGTTAACCGGGCCGGCGGTAGCCTGCACAACCCAACCGGCAAGATGCTTGGCGATAGATACGAGCACGCATTGTGTTTAATACTTAGGAGTTTTTTTGGCGGTAGGGCATATAACCCTACCGCTAGTGACCTTGGCGATAGGCTGTTATACCTTACCACCATAATCCCTGGCGGTAGCAAAAGGGTCAAATTTTGATTTTTTTTAAATTAAAATCAAATCTTGAATAGGTTTCAGAAAAGGATCAAAACACGAGATTTAGCCTCGAGTCATGAAGGATTGAGATGGCCCGTGAGCATCTCCTGGCCGGAAACACAGAACAGTTCTTGTGCATTGTGTTTGTATCTTTTTATGCTCTATTTTAAGTTAATAAAATTTCCCGTATTTTTTATTAAAAAGGCAACCACCACATACCGCCTATGTAATTACTGTCTTTGTATCGAAGGTATATATACCTTAATGTTTAATCAGCGAAATCAACTGTTCATTCTCTCAAACGCAACACGTTTTTATCAGCACTCGAAAGGGCGGTTTCGTTAATGAAAGAACAGGTGGCAAAATCAACATTTTTTGCTCACCACCTTTAGTTTCTCAAAAGAAATTGAGCGGGGAGTTTCTCAATTTATAGTGTGTGTGAAAAAGGTAATTTAATCAGCATAATGCTGTAATGGTTGTTTGCATCAATCAAGAGGCCCTCCTTTTCAAATTGAAAAGGAAAACACCATGGTTTCTTGTAGCACAAAGAATACTACTAGTACTCCCTCCGGTCCTTTTTACTCTGCATATTAGATTTGTCCGAAGTCAATCTCATCCAACTTTGATTAAGTTTATATAAAAAATTATAGACATTCACATAACAACACCAATATCATTAGATTCATCTTAGAATATATTTTCATATTATATTTATTAGATATTATAGATGCTAATAATTTCTAATATAAATTTGGTCAAACTTAGCAAAGTTTGACTTTCGGCAAATTCAATGTGCAAAGTAAAAAGGACCGGAGGGAGTACTACCTGCCCCCTCATGACTCGTTAGAACCCCTCAAAATTTTGAGCCTTTTTATGGCGTATAACTCAAAATTCGAGGGGGCTTATAAACTTGGACGGAGGAAATAATTTTGTAAGTTGAGTGCATGAAAAATACTTTTTTTGCACTACCACGAGTGAGGCTATTCTTTAATAAGTACATACAAGTAACATATATAGGTTACTAACTTTTGTTATAGTTTCCGGCAGAGCATATTATTCGTGAAAGTATATGCTAGCAAGATCTAAAACAGTAGGGCCATGAACATTAATAGAAAAAACAACCAGAAAATAGAGAAAAACGAAAATCTTTAATCTGTGTATTCATGCTTCATGATGACAACTCTTACAAATTATGCACTCCACCCCTTTTCGTATAACTGATGTAAGAATGAATGAATGATGAAGTTGAAGCTACTTGGAGATTTAGTCATTTAGACAAGATGAATGCTCAAATTTATGATCCATTCAAGCAAGAGATAACCCTGCGCAATATTTCCCCAAAATGAATGCAAATGAGGATAGCAATTGGCACATTTAGCCATGTGAATGAACTACTCCTAGTAATCAAATTAATACGTAGTATCGTAATGCAATCCAAGACCAACAAGCCGTTCAAATTTTCTCTTCATGTAATTAAGCTCACAATGCCCACCATGTTTAGGATCATGAACATTAGTATAGTACTCCTACTGGTTTAGCAAAGATTTCTCAGCTGCAAAACCAAACATACTCGCTAATGCCATTGCCTCTTGGACAACTCCAGCCCCGCCGGCGCCGCTAGCCCCCTCATCTCTCCGGCGAGGTCGACGCCGAACAGCCTCACGACATGGGCTTCTTCTCTTTTGCCTGTCTCCACCACCGGCGGCGGCGACGCCGCTGCGCCGCCACTCGCCGTCATGGTCTTCTTGTAGTCGATGAAGAAGTGCTTCTCCTGTCCGTACTCTGAGCAGGAGAACACGACGACGTCGCCGGCGACGAGGCCCTTCTCCCGGACGAACCGGCTCCAGCCCTTGGTGAGCACGTAGCTCTGGCTGCTGTTCCAGTACGAGTACCTGAACCGCCACACCTTCCCCTCGCCGTCCTCGAAGTTGAGCAGCACGCACTTGTCAGCGGCGGTCGTTGTCTCCGGCGCGCGCTTCAGGGGGATGTGCTTCTCGGCGTGCTGCTTCGGCAACACGATGCGGTTCAGCTTGCCGACGTCGCTCGGCGTCAGGACCTTCTCGAAGAGCGGCTCCCTCGCCCACGACGGCGTCGGCTCCGCGCGGCCCCCAATGCCGCGGCCGCGGCGCAGGCCCCGGCGGAGCTCGTCGGAGTAGGTGTGCTTGCGGAGCATGTCGACGATCTCGGCCTTGGAGTGCGCCGCCAGGAAGGCGAGCTCCGTCGACGCGGCCGTGCGCGGGAAGTTGGTGGCGGCGTCGAGGCCGCGGTAGCGGAGCGCGGCCACGTCGTAGGCGCGCGCCGCGGCGTCCTCGTCGGGGAACGTGCCGATCCAGACGCGCGCGTGGCGATCGTAGATCTGGGCGCCCCACCGCCCGTTGGGCTGCGGCACCACGCCCTTGAACCGCGACGACGCCGACTGCGCCGATGCCGACGCCGAGCGCGAGGTCACGGCCTCGTCGGGGATGGCGACAGGTAGGCCCAGCGGCGTCGGCAGCCGGCCGGCGGCACCCGACTCGGTCGTGGCCGTGGACGCGCCGGTAGAGTGCTGGGAGGAGTGCTCCGGCGTGGAGCTGAGGATCTGCAGTCCCATGGACTGCTGCTTTTCTGTGGCTTGGCATCTGCTGGGGAAGGGACGTCCTTTTGGAGGGTGTGTATGGGCCAATTCTTTTCCCCCATGATTCTTCAGAATGTGATTCTGGTAATCTGCCCACAAAATCAACTGCTCATAAAATCCACCGTCTAGTTTTTTTCTGAGATTTCAGCCTATGATTGTTGTATGAGTTGTGTGATGAAATGTCTCTAACAGCCCTAGATTGGAACTGAGTGTTGAATTGCTAACACTTATTTATTTCGGACAGTTTCACGTGTAATATGAACGAGCGGGGCGGTTACAATCGCGAGCTTCGATTACATGATTAGGGTCAGATGGTTGAGTATCGTCTTTGGCAACCAGCGAACGGAGGGCTAAAACCTATAGTTTTGGAGTAAGGAATGAGCGTGAAAGTTGTTGTGCTTCTGTACACGCACATATGTTTTCTTGCTGGGGCGGACACGGATTTCTCACTAAAGGTGAAGAAAAAGATAATACGAATTACCATATCTTCAGCTTTAAGCTCTTTCTTTCGTCGTACTAAATTATACTACAGAAACACAACCTTGAAGGGAATAGTTAATCACACAATCAATTTTCCGAACTTCCAATTTTCTCCAACTAAAATATTAGATGGCCAGTACTAGCAAGATATGATCAAGGGCACAGAAACAACTCCGCGCAAAAAGAAAGGACATATAAACAACGGGCTGCATTTAAGATTTGATGGGTAGTTGGGGGTGGTCGTTGGAGATGATGAGGTGCCACTGGTCAGGCATTTGACTTGTTCAAATGCATACGATAATATATAGAGGGATATATAGGATTGTTGAATCATGAAATACATCCTGACTAATATAGTGGAAGATAAAACTTTCAATGAGTAAGGGAGTACTTGATAGAGATTGCAAACACCATTTTCCTCATGTTTGAATAGTTGGTATCGTCAAACGTTCTTATTGACGAAGGTTAAAACCACAACATTTCTATGATTTAATAACATAAAGTTTAAATTCTTGGTAGTGTCGAAAAAGCGTTTACCAACCTGTTACACCATGGCTTCAACCGCAAAGGCAAAGCCTCACTCGGTGTAGATCTTAAAGAAGTAGACAGTCTCTAAGCCCTCACAAACTTCTTGGTTCCTTCGCACTTTGAGGACTCTCAAACATACCTAGACGATCTAGGAGGAGTACACCATTCAAAGTAATAAGATTGGTGTTGCTTGGTGATGAATTTTCTTCTTGTGCATCCAAAGATTACCACCCCACACTCAAACTCTCGTATAATGGATCATTGGATGTGGAGAAGTTTGGGTGTTGGAAGATTCACTTGAAACGAAGGAGAAGATGAGAGAATCACATTTTTGGCATGGATGTTATAGTGGAAGGCCCTTTGTACTTAGCACGTGACTGAGGAGTTCTCCCTTATTAATGTTTTTGAAATGAAGCTCTCTTGACCGAATTAGTGAGTTTGGTTGGGGTATATATTGGTTGGACCTCGAAATCTGACTATCACACACTTTTGAGCGCAAGTGAGAGACACCAAACGATTAGCCTGGAGGTTTCGATTGAACTTTCGAGGATCAACTGGCATATAGCTTGGAAGGTCTGACCTGAGTCATGTGAAGGCTCTAAGCGGCACATGATACTAGGCTCGTTCATGTGCTCTGGTACAGAGGCTTGCACAAGTGCTCCAGTTGCTCAAAGTGGAGTTGTGTTGTAGGCTCTGAATGGATTTGCAATGACCGTCTCTCTGAATGGGTCAGAGGGTCCAATTGGATTTGGCTTGGTGGCTCTGAACAGTGGAAAGAGGATAGAAGATAGCACAGAAATGGTTGAGGTGTTCCGTGTTCGGTTATTTTTTTAGGTTAATCTTGAAGAACGTAGGAAGCAGCTCATCGCCTCAGTTACCTGATCCACTTTGATAGTTTCGGCGTAGTTATACACTTAGTGTGATCTTTTTTTTGAAGGTCACCGGGGGAGGGCAAGAGCCCTCCACCTGAATTTTCTTTTTCTATTGATTCACACCCCCGGGGGGAGA